TTTGTCTTTCACTCTTTTTCTGTCTTTCATGATTTTGATTGAGTGTTTTATACAATTCCATTTTTCTTTTTACTTAGCATATCAATTACACATTTTTTAAAAAACAAAAAATAGTGATTGTCCTAGAGTTTGCACTGTATATTCACAATTAACTCGAGTCTGCTTTCAAATAACAGTATTCCACTTCACAGGCTGTGTAAACACCTCAAAGTAGTAAAACAGTCCTAATACCCTCCTCCTGTCTGTGTATCACATACCATACAATTCACCCATTTATCACATACCATACAATTCACCCATTTAAAGTGTACAATTTAGTCTTTTTTTTTTTTTTTTAACATTCATAGAGTTGTGAAACCATTACCACAGTCAATTTTGGGACATTTTTATCACACTTCCTTCCAAAGAAACCCTGTACCTGTTAGCATTCATTTCCCACGTCCTCACAACCTCCCCATGCCTAGGCCACAACCTCCCCATGCCTAGGCCACAACCTCCCCATGCCTAGGCCACAACCAGTCAACTTTCTGTCTCTATGATTTGCCTATTCTGGACATTTCACATAAATGGAATCATACATTATTGTCACAGTTCATTCCATGGCTGGACTTTGAAGTGTTTCCCCAATTATTGGGCTCCTGGTTTGAAGGAATCACAAGCCTTGACCCACACAATGGAGAGATGACAGACACTGAGCAAGTATGTGTGAAGAATTTATTGCAAGTAAAGTTTAAGGGTGCAAAGCAAAAAGTACATTTCCTAAGGGGTAATGGGTCTATCTTCGCAATTGGAGAAGACACTGTCTACTTCTTTGTTTTTCCTTTTATATGTTTTATGTTTAGGTAAAGATTAGTTATAACTATTCATAACTATACATCACTACTTGGGGGACTGAATTCTTTCCAGGTAGGGACATGACCAAAAGGTTATGTTTCAGTCATTCTTTCTAGTATACGTATGGTGGGGAAAGTGCCATAACCTGTTAATGGTGTTTTTTCCATTCTCCGACTGGTGGTCAGTGTTCCATGGCCTAATTACCCCATTCTTTAAGACTAAAATGACCATTCTCTTTTTTAGTTTTCTGCAACCATTTCCTCCTTATTGTTTTTCTGTAACTGCTTTCTCCTTTCTGTTTTCCTGATGTCCATTACCTCTCACTTGTTTTTTTGTCTCTAACAGTATATGCCTTTATGGGTAGCTTCTCACACTGGGCATAATGTTTTCAAAGTTTGCTTATATTGTAGCATTCTGTGTTCTTCTTAAAGTAATTTTCTAAACATAATAGAATTGCTTGTTGGTAACAGCTGATGTAAGTCCCCAGCAAATATAGATTATTTATGCATGAAGAGGAATACTACAGATGTACCATCACCCTGCCTAGTAGGTATCTTGTGTTTACAGTAAGAGGATATGAATATCGGCACTATGACCATCCAGTATTATCAGCTTACCTAGTTCTTGGGAAGAATAATCTAATGTTACAGTGCATGTGATGGTACTTTATAAACAGCCTAGGGCATGCAATGTAGGGCTGCAGATACAGATTGAATTCTCATCCAGCTGGGTGATGCTGGGCAAAGTGTTTACCATGGCTAAGCCCCAAGCTGGACACATCGATGCTCTCTACATGGTGGTGCAGGGATTGAAGGAAAGTATGTGTATAACATGAATGTTGCTGTTGTTTTTAGACTCCCCAGCCTTTCCACAACTTGGACCAGAGGCCATTCCCTTGTGGTTTCATACTGAGAGGTGGCAGAGTGGAGGCTGGAAGTCAGAGATCAGGGTGCCATCGTGTTTGGGTTCTTGGTGACGGCCATTTTCATTGTTATGTTCTTACATGGTCTTTCCTTGGCACATGCATGCAGGGAGCGAAATCACGTTTCTCTTTGTCTCCACCATCATGGGGGAAACCTCATCTCATGGCCTTATCTAAACCTAATCAGCTCTCAAAGGTCCCACCTCTAAACATTATCACATGGGGGATTAGGGTTTCAGCATAAGAATTTTAGGGAGATACAAACAGTCCATGGCAGCCCCATATATGTATATTACACCAACTCCATTGGGTAGATTCTATTCAATAAGGTAGGTATCCCTGTACAGAGAAGGTAGGAGGAAAATAAGGCTTCCACAGGTCTACAGCTATGCTGTCACCGGTGGGAATTAGAAGGGCTGTTTATGGATCTATTTGAGGAGCTCATCACTAAAGAATATGAGTTTCTGGGATACCTTGGCTTTATTTGTGCAGTGCTGCCCAAGATAGAGAGCAGAGTATGTGTCAGCCACCTCACTGGCTAGAGATATTGGGGGTCAGAGCTCAAATGCTCATCCCTGAGCCACAGAAAGGGTTGAATTGAAGAATTGCCCGAGACTTGGATCGCTACCTGTCCCTTCCCTTGGCATCAATGTCATGGCTATGCCAAAGATTCCATCTTGGAGCCAGGTTGTCCTTGGCTCTAAAGTTGCCCGAGGTAGCACACCTATGATGGGTCACTGCCTTGACCATGGGATTAGAGCTGAAGAGAGGGAGCCAGCTTGGGAAGGAGAGGAAGGAAAGATAGTCTGATTAAGTTTTGTCTCAAAGTGTCTGTTTTTGGGTTTGTCCCTGCATTGATCTGCAAGGGAATGAGGCAAGTAATGGCCCCTCAGGGACTTTCAGGACTTTGCTCTCAATGTCAGCCGTCATTTTCAATCACCCTCTCCCTCCCAGCCATTAATTTTGGCCCAGGATCATGGGGACTTGTCCATCTATCACTCCTAATTGACACTAAATGATCTGTCAGTTTATTGATGAACGGCAGGAGTGGAATTGTCACAATATATTTTACTTTCTAACAACTCCTCCTGACAATTTTACCTTGTCCATCTCACTCTCCTCACATAAATCTCCATTGGCCGCTCATTCCTTCTCATGGGCTGTTCTGGTGCCAGCCACTTCCACACCATCTGCACGCATCAAGGACATCAAGATGGCGGTAGAACTGCTGTGTGCCGGGCCTGAGGTTGCCCCCCTTCCCTCCTCCTCCTTTCTTCCTCTCTCTCCCTCTCTCTTTTTTTAAATGGCATAGATGTTCCAGGAATACTAAAGGGCTGTGCCCTCTCCCTCTGTGTCATTGCCATACCAGGGTCTTTTTACCTTCTTGTTAGCAGCGAGTAGTTAATTCTTATTAGGCTACAAAAGTGTGAAAGGCAAAAACTCTCAGAGCCGGAGGGCTCCTAGATCTGTGAGCACAGTTGCAAACACATGTTTTGTCCTCTTAACCCAGCTCTGTTACAGACTGCCCATCTCTGCAGAAGTCAGTTTCTCAGAAAGGTGTCACAGAGGGTAGGCTAGCTGCAGCTTCCCTGCTGTTGTGCCATGTGCTGCACTGAGTGCAGCAGTTGTGGCCAAGATGCAAGCACTCCCTGTCCTTGGGCCCGCTGGGCTGTGCCTAGTGCTGCCGAGGCCCCTAGGCTGGTCACCTATGGCCACTCGAAGTCTCGTCCAGCCACCCCAGTTCTCACCATTCAAACGTTTTTAATTGCTCTATGTCTTGGAAAAGATGGGGAAGTACTAGGTTAGACATATTTAAGGGTACATAGTTATTTAGTCTCAAGACTAATAGTGTACAGATGGATGTGAAAAATGCTTTATCCTGTGTGAGGCCACGGATGAATAGAGGAGCTTGGTGATATATAAAGAATGTCATTGATTCCCACTCTCCCTCCTTTCTTGCTGGAGATAATTTTTGTTAACTGATAAGGACTGTTTTTGTTTATTAATCACACACCATTATCAGGCCTATCAAAATTAATAATAATTCCTTAATGTCATCTGATATCCAGGTCATATTGAGTTACTTCCATTGTCTCAAAGATGTCTTTTTACAGTTGGGTTGTACAAAGGACAAATCAAGGTCCACACGCTGTATTTAGTAGTTATAGGTCTACAGTCTCTCTTTTATTCTGCAACAACTCTCGCCCCTCTTTCCCCATGCCACTGACTTTTTTTGGCAAGAAACTTGTCCTGTAGAGCGTCCCACATTCTTAATTTGGCCCATTGCTTCCTAATCATGGTGTTTAACTTGTTTCTCTGTCCCTCAAGTTCCCTGTTAAACTGATAGATCTAGCTCTAACTGGTAGTTCAGTTTAGGCTCACTGTTTTGGCAAGAATACTTTGTAGATGGTGCTATATACGTACTACCATATCACATTTGAAGGCACAGGTGTGTGGTTATTCTGCTTGAAGTGAGTCTGTGATTGATCAGTGGGGTTGAGGGTCAGCTTCCATTTTACAGTCCACATTGAACTCCCTCCTCCATTGATGTTAGTTACCAGGAGCCATGATTTCATTGAAGGTTGTCAAATGGTGATTTTCCAGTTTTCACTTATTGAGAGAAATTCTTCTATAAAGAACTTTCATCAGCTATTTGGTTGCCTGAAATACATTTTATACTTGTTTGCTATCTTTCCCAACATCTCTTTGTTTTGAAAAATTTCAAACATATAGAAAAGTTGCAGTAGTACAAGAAACATCCATATACCATCCATTTACCTTACATGACCAATTGTTAATGTTTGCCTAAATATGGCTCTTGCTTTATTCTCTATTCTCTCTTTTTGTTTTTTTTAGTTTTTACTAAACTGTTTGAGAATGGGAGCTGCCTTTGTGTTACTAATAATAGTAACTAATAAATAGTTACTATGCAAGAGATTTTTGTCTGTATTTGTTTGCATTGTTTGTATGCTGGGTACATATTTATTTGATCAGTGAGTAAATTTTGGGCATTTCTTACAGAGCTCCAATAATTAAGAAGTTATCTCCAAGTTCCAGTGAATTAAAAGAACTTAGTTCTTGACCTTCAGATTTTCATCAATAAGCACAATTTTGTTTATTTGGTTTTTAAGAAAAATAAAACAAAATTAGAAGCATTGAGAATTGGTTTTCCCCTTGCTACCCTCAGTCACAAAGAACCCAGAATTGGTGTGGCATGGCCAGGGGTCCTGGGCCCCTTGGGTAAACAGTTTGGTTCTCAATGAGGTAAGTCATATATCAGACTTGAGTGTCCAGGATTGGGTGAAATCAGGTGGGGCAGTCACATGTGAGAGGGTTGAGAAGGGAAGGTCATAGGTGGCTAATCATGCACTCACTTCCAAAGGCTGTGTCCGGGGCTTGGGGCCATGTCCCTATTTCTATGGCTTTTCGAGATGCTCATGTGAACTCTCTGCTTGGACCTGTGTCCCCACTTCATTATCACACATTTTGGCCTGCATATATGCTCTTCCTCCAGGTGGTGTCCAAGATGTGGTAAGTTCAGAAAAGATGGTTTAAGACCAAGCAATATATCTTTTTAATGTATACCGTAGATTTGTTTGTTATGTGTAGACTCTCCAAAGAGTAATTTTTTGCTTTGATCTCAACTTGTGTTCTGAGCCTGGACAGAAAGATGATAGAAGGGAGTTAAATAAGTTTTTATTTTAATGAACTAGAGAAACCACAGTTATTTTTTAAAAATCAGAATTTAATTGCATTGTTTATTGTTGGAAATCGTGTGTTCAGTAGGATCTAAAGATCAAATAAATAATGCTCAGATGGCATACATTGAAAAATAAGTATCATGATTGCAGTAGGGAAAAGTGTGAGATGTGTCAAACTCATTCTATCCTTAGGCCTTTCTAATCTTCAAACATTTAAATTATTTTGGTAGATTTCATTTGTTTTGGTAGCTGGTAGGTGGGGAGGAATGGGAATAATGGATAGATAATGGCAGAACTGTGTGTCTGTGAAGCACTTAGCTGAGCTGTCCTTTCTTGCTCAGTCCCTGAAGTATGCACAGCCATGTGAGGGACTCACTGAAAGTCACTCTTCATGGGCATAGGTAATTTGTTCATTCTGTGGCTATGTCAACAGAGCACCGTTCCTTGTCCAGCACAGGCACCCAGGTCTAGCTTTGCTAGAACCCCTTTTTGTAAAGGCATACCGCCTTTTTGTGGAGTAAAGTCTGTTTGACCTTAAAACTTAAAGGTAACTAAGTTGAGAATCATTTCAAGAGGACTGTGAGAGAAGGAAAGAGAGTAGGATGTGGAGGCAGTACACTTTTTTATATTTTAGTCATTGTTGACTTTTTGTCACCTTTTAAGACATTAGAGCTATTGGTGAATTTTAGTTTTATTTATTTTTGTAAATAAATAAGAAGTATATATATATTTTACAGAATTCAAAATACACAAAAGAGTAGGGTATGAAATGTAAGTCTCTTCTGTCTCTTCCCTGCTTCCTCAGGCACCCAGTTCCCCTCCTAGAGGCAGTCACTGTTAACTAGTTTTTAACTGTTTCTTTCCAAAGCTTCTCTATGCATTTACAAAAAAATATAGGTTAATATATTCTCCCACCACCACACACAAATGGTAACATATCTGTTTTTATCTTACAGCAATGTTTCTGGTTGATCTTTATGAAATCTCAGTCTAGACTAGAACTGGCTCATTTTTAAGGGCTGCATATTACTCCAAAGTAATCATGAGCAAACAACAGGTGTGATCTTTTCCCAGGCCAAAAAAGCAGACTTCCATTGTTTATTCATGTAATGGCCGTAACATGACCCTTCAAAAGTATTGTGAAGGCTTTAGGTATGGTGCACACATATCCCACAGGCTTGGGAAGACGTAAAATGTGTACATCGTTTTCTCATTGAGGATTTGAGTGAACAATTTCATGCACTTCTACTAGGGTTGATACAGTGATGTTCAGTGCAGAGCAAACAGAGATGTTCTAGGTTATATTTATTGCAGTTTAGGGCCCTGGAAGGCTTGTCTAGTGCCATAAAACCAATTTATAAGGCAAATGACTAAGTGTGAAATAATTGGCATCTTGCATTTCTGTCCAGTTCTTCCCATTCAAAGGTGATAATTATAAGCCCCATGTGCAGCATCATTTGGCTGCTTCACTTCCCACTCTGAGAAGTGGAGCAGTCTTACTGACATGCAGCCCTAGTTAGTTCTCTCCCTGGAGCAGCAGTGAGCACCTGATGCCCTCCGGAGGCAGCAGAACAGGCAGTGACTTGGGATGAACTTGTGGCCTGTGTAGGTGCACCAGGAAAGGACAGCTGGGGCTCCAGGTCCACACAGTGTACAAGGGATGTGATTCTTGGGGCCTCAGTTGGCAGAATTGTTTCCCAACTGCCTGTGGGCTGGGCTGTGGGGAGGTGACCCAAAGACTGCCCAGAGCAATTGCAGAGCCTCCTTGTAGTCTTCAGCTTTTCTTAAGTGAAGCTACGCTTGACTTTTATTGTAATTAAAACCAGGCTTTGACTTTTGGCCCTTTATACTTCCTAGTTCTGCAGAAGTGACATGCTTTGGGGGTTAGAGCTGGCCATTTCTTGGAGCCAGGGGTAGGAATAAAGTTGGAGGGTCTCTAAGAGTTAGGAAAGAAATTAGCAGCCCACAAAAGTATCTCTTAAATGACAACAGCTAGAAGCATAGCCACCCATGGAATATTCCTTTGTTTCTCTGGACTGTCACAAAGTGCAGGGGTCTCAATACTAGAAAGTTAGAGCCAATCTTGTCCAATCTCCTGTCAAATTGTAGTGTTTCAGTAAGTGCTGGTTGAGATCTGCTTGAACAGTGGATATTCTACGTTTTATTCATTGATTCAGTGGAATCAGCCCCACCGATTCTATTTTTCAGTATAGCCCTTTTTATTTGTGCAAGCAAACTGAGAACACTTTGACGATGTAAAAATTCCAGTAAGACAGATGCAGCTACATTTGTCTGAAACTATCATCTCTAATCTTAGCCATCTCTTTAAGAAGTAATTACTGGATCAGTTTGTTGGTATCTGTTACACATTTCAATAGATATTAAAAATCTTTTTTTGTATAAACAGGATTATACACCTTACACCTCTGCACCTTACTTTTTTTTCCTTTTTCACTTAACAGTAAGTACATATTGGAGATCTTTTAGTATACATAGACTTATCTCATGTTTCTAACTGCTCCATAATAATCCTGTGATATGTATGGATGCACCATTCCCCTGTTGGTGGACATTCCACTGTTGATAATGGGGTTGCCATTATCAACCCCCTGAGTTTTTTTTAAAACAGCTCTATTCTTTAGGAAATCTACAGCTTCATCCTTAGAAACAGATTCTGCCTTCTGGGGGAAAACTGCAGAACCCATTGTGGACAGCCCACATGTCTTGCCCGGCCCTCTTATATAGATGAGAACATATACACACGCACACACACACACACACACGCAACACAAGTACACACACACACACACACACAGAAACACATCATTTATTGTGACGTTTTTGGCGGGCACTGTGTTAAACACAGTTGTCTTATTTTATTTATCCTCAAAACAACACCATGAAGTAGTTGTTGTTATTCCTACTTGCAGATGAGGAAACTGACTTTTAGAAAAGTTAAGTATGCACTTGCTCAAGTCACACAGCTTAGCAAGTAGCCAGCCAATTTGAACCCAGGTTAGTCTGACGTAGGGGTCATGGTCTTATTCTCAGTGCTTTGCTGCTGCCCACTTTCATGCCCCTTGGCACCTGGTATAGCGTCTTTGCCCGTGGTAGAGCCTCAGCAGATATTACCTGAGGGTTATTTTTACATGGATCCACTATGTCCAGCCTGTGAGAATAAAAGCAAGGAGTGAATGAGTGACCTAAGCCCTTCCTAACCTCCTGCGGCATACCTGTCTACAGAGCTGTGTTCAGCCAGCTGCCTGACCCGCCAGAAGAAAGTGAGTGCAAAGGATGCAGCCTGCACTTAGGGGCACCAGGCAAGGCTATCCCAGCCCTGCCATTAAAAGGCTTAATTAGGCTAGTCATTAAGTTCAATTAGGCAATGGCAGTTATTGTCCCTTCTAACCCTGCAGTGCCCTCTAAGAACTGGATCCATTCCCAGGCAGCTAGCTCAGGAGCCAGGTACTAGTTACGGGTGCACCAGCAGTCCTCACCTCTGGTTTTGGGGCATGTGACTCCATGGCTAGGCTGAGGGCAGAGCAAGGTGTTCCCTGTGCACATTAAATATGGTCAGGTTTCTGCCCTTGAGGCCATTTCCTGAGCTCATTTCTGAGCCACCCTCTTTTCCCATGTGCATATTGGGAGTCAGGACGTCTGCCTGTGCAGTGGGCACAGTGCAGAGCCTTAGGCTGGGAGAGGGAGAGGTGCTGCTTAGCCTTGTGCAACTAGCTCCGCACCCCTGAGCTCTGTCTCTTCACTGCTAAAACTGAGTGGTCTCAAAGGCCTTCCCCAACTCAAGAAATACAGGTGAACATCAAGAAATACACTTTCTAGATGACTGCTCAGTACAAGTCATTTTAGCCTCCAAATTATTACCTTGGAATGAAACAGTTGACAAACATTAAGGCAGGGACAGGCCTTCCAGGCACAGGGGCCAGGTGTGTGTAGGCACGCCTGAACCACCACAGTGTGTTTAGTTGTGAGCACAGCACGATGACTGAAGCCCAGGATTTGCGTAGGGGAGTAGAATGAGATAGGTGGGCAGGGCCTTGAACCCAAGGCACGATTTCAGTTTTTAGGGAGTAGGAGCCACTGAAATGTTGACAGCTGTGTGACCAGTGATGCAATGGACACGCTATCAATCTTCTTTGGAATGCCTTTTTGGCCTGGCATGATGATCTTGGGGTATTTGCAGATGTAAAAAGAAATCTGTTTCTCCCAAAGTAGAATCTTCTTTGTATAATGTGAAATTGTTTTCTTACTGTGCTCTACAATTTTACTCAATTCTGATGTTTTCTATGTAGACTTAGCATCAGATCCCACAGGTTAAGAGCCGAGTCCCATAAGAATGCCCCTCTCTTCCAGTGCCAGTCGAAAGTTCTAGGTTGTTCTACCTGTGCTTCTGAACCACTGGCTATAAATCGAGGGTTCCCACAACCCCCTTTCTAGGTTTGATTAATTTGCTAGAGCAGCTCACAGAACTCAGGGAAACCCTTTACTTACTATTACTAATTTATTACAAAGTATATTTTAAAAGGTACAAATGAATGGCCAGATGAA